AATAGCGGTCACCGGTGACCGCAACCTATTGTTCTATTAATAATTGTGTCTACAAAACCGGTACTCGACGAGTTAATGCCACTGTAGGTACAATGTAACACCCACTTTTCACTATTCATGTTATAGGTAAGTCCCATGTACCTACACGTACACCATGTACAATATGTACATAGTGAAACAAGTGAATTTATTTCTGCAAATAGGCTACAAGGCAGCACTTTTACACATCAATTTTATCAAGCAAACGATGAGGTCGACATAGGCTCACCCCATACCTAGGCAGGTATTGGGGTAAGATTATGTATATAGCTTAGGTATCTTGCCATATACGGGATCCACAATTTCAGACTCCGTGCTAACCAACAATTTTTTAACCCTTTTTTAACGTAGATTCACGCGAGAGACAATGTATTTTCTATTGTGTCTCATATACCGACACTCAAGAGGTTAAATAATCCAGTAATACTTTGCCCGACCCGGGAATCGAACCCGACACCCCCTGCCTGTCAGTCGCACTTGCAACCACTCGGCCAACAGCCGAGTGGTCGCTCTCTACTCAGACTAATAAAACACCTAGTTAGAATTTTTTTAAACTCATTGCACGAACCAGCGCAGCCTCAAATATGAGTCAAAGACACATGACTATCTCATTATCAGTGTCTAGTCAACGACTAACAATTACTTGGTATAAAGCACAATCGAGTATAGTTACAATAAACAGTGAAAATAAACTTGATAAATTAATTGTTATCTCCCAATCGCGGTGCGAACACAAGGCAGAACGCCTGTGTCCTAATCTTTAACGTTTAAAAAAAGTAACACACAGATAAAATTAACGTAAAAAAAATAAGTTTGACAGCTAAGTGATGAGGTTCGTTGAAAAAAATTCGAAAAAGGCAAGGGAGCCTGATTCTGCGGCCAGCTCTGTCAGATCCGTCGACAGTTACGAGTAAGTACTTTTTAAGTTTAGCTTTAAATCATGAAGTCCTACTTACCTAATTCCTTTTTTTTTATTATGCTTATTTCAATATTAGATAATTACTTAGAACGTTTATAAAATAAAATAAAAAATTGCTACCCATTTCCTCCAGTTATAACTTGAGAATTTAACTCGGAAGTGGTTTGAACCTATATTTAGGCCAGCATTCTACCATTTCTTTTCATAATCTTTGATTGTGTTAGGTAATTGTGTACCTACTTGCCAACTAGTCAAATTCAATACTTTTCGAACTGTCAAAAATCGTCAAAAACGACAGGTTTTTATGAATTCTATATGAGATTATGTATTATGTCGTCACAATTTTTAAAATCAAATAGTACTTATTTCTTAGGAATTGGCTGGAAAAGTACCTACTAATATTAAGTTAGTCATAAAATCAAATAGGTACCTAATGAAAGTGTGATTATTTTGTAATATTTTGTATTATACAGTCGAAATAAGTAATTCATTTTTGATTAAGGAAAGTACCCAAGTACTATATTAATACAGTTTCTGGTTTAAAGAATTAATTACATTTTAAATACGATTAGGTAGGTACCTACTGAAACAATTAATGTTGAACAGTAGCTGTCTTTATATCTACAGACCCGTTGTGTCTTTTCCGCTAAAAAAATTCACAAACAAAATCTTCTATATAAAATGAGCCGGGTTTTCCTTCCTGACACTAGACGCGAACTGATATTATTATATACGGTATTGCATTCGTTGGAAAGGTCTCGCGTTCCGTGAGGTTTATAACAAAGAAAATTCAGGAAACAGAAATTTCTTCATCTTTTTAATCACCATCTGGTGGTGAAACGGAGTTCGCCGGGTTTGGTAGTTTTACAATAATTAAAGTTAGACTTAGTATGTATCTTGCAGCAGACCTTTACGCCTTTGATCAATAAGGGTGGGTAAATGCATCTCATAATATTGTTATCTATATAAATAATGACGCAATAGGTTAAAATGTTGCATTACGAGTTTGTTATTATTTAACTATGCAGTTTGCACTATTTACGATACTTACTTCATGTCTATTTGTATTATATTTATGTCAATAAGTTTTCATTCAGTACTACAAAATTTTATCTGTTATTCTCCCCTCATTGTTCAAGTGGTTGCAAGTGCTATTACTGAGTACGGGGATTTTACTCTTAGTATTTAGGTACAGTATACGAAGACATGAAGACTGCAATTAGAGCGCTGATAGACGCGGGTTTTAGTTTTAACTCATTGAGTACCGGTTTTGTAGACACAATTATAGAACAATAGGTTGCGGTCACCGGTGTCCGCTTGGTGTTTGACAGTTTAAGTTTACGCCTTCATAAAACTAATCAGTTTAATTATTCAACAATAAGTAAGGCCTACCTTTCTGATTTCTGGGATTTCTGGGACTCTGGTGAATGGTATAGGTACCAATCACCTTTAGGTAGGTACTTAGCACACAGAGTCCTAGAAATCATGAACTAACTTCCTCATTCGATATAATAAATGTCAATACAAAGTCGTGTCACAAATATTTACTATAACTACATAGGACCTATCTATTACAGTAGTATATAATTAAATAAGATGACGAAACTATGATAACTGTTTCGTCAGACGTCTCCCGACCCCAGACAACATTATTTATTAATTTAAATTATTACAAATGTTATAAAACGGAGAAAAGTGCTATCAATCAAGTATCGAATTAATAATTAACTTCAACTGTGTGACTTTGAAGAATTGTATCCGTAGGTACCTACGTCGCAGTGTCTACTTACGTAGACACTTCCAGTCAGTAAAGAAAAATAACACTAGTTTACAAAATTTTACTTTTTATTTATACCCCGAACCGAATGTATGTCAATATGTTAATATACCTTCCCTAAACCTAAAAGTGTTAGCAGAAATATTTTATCACGTCGGAATTTTTTTTTGCCTTCAATTGTTTTTTTTTAACTACCCGACGTGGTGGTGATGTTTTATTGTTTATTCGTTCGCTTCAAACAACAGTTACTTTGCTTTGGATTGATTTAAAATGACTAGCAGAAAGTGCAATCAAAGTTCTGACCGTTTTTGTTATGTTTGTGGACAGTTTATATTTTCAAAAAAGAGAAGATCTATTGTAGATTCGTTAAAAACTGCATATCTTCATTATTTTGGATTTCCTGTTGCAAATCAAGATAAAAAGTGGGTGCCTGACGTGTTTTGTGAAAGCTGTAGAATCATCTTACTCCAGTTGTCATCAGGAGAAAAAGTTTACCTTCCATTTGGTTCGCCAATGCTATGGAGAGAACCTAGTACCTAATCATGAAAATGATTGTTACTTTTGTGTTACGAAGACATTGGGATATAACAAAAAAAATAAGGCAAGTATTATGTACGCCGATATTCCGTCTGTTACTAAGCCGATTTTACATTCAAAAGATCTACCCCATCCAGTTTGTCCCGGTAGTTTGAGTGCAAATATATTAGATGACAATAACAGTGATGTTGAATTCAAGTCGATTTCTAGTGATTCTGACGAATTTTCACCTCAAGAAAACACTCCACATTTAATTAATTAGGCCGAATTAAATGATCTATACGAGATTTACAGTTATCAAGATCTAAAGCAGAGCTTCTTGGCTCCCGCTTACAACAATGGAACTTGTTACTACCACACACAAAAGTTACGTTTTTCAGAAACAGAAGCAAAGTTTATTCAGAATTTTTCAAAAGAGAAGGTGAATATTGTTATTGCACAGATATCCCGGGACTTTTCGAAGCAATGAATCAAAACATGTCATTAAAGATTCACACTCTCTCATCTGAATTTTTTTCCTGAAAACTTAGGAAGTATGAGTGACGAACAGGGTGAACGTTTCCACCAAGATTTAAGGACTTTCGAAGAACGACATCAAGGGTTTTGGGATGAAAATATGTTAGGGGATTACTGTTGGTCTATCATAAGAGAAACTTATTCAAATAACTATAAAAAGAAAGCAAAAATTAGTCATTTTTAATTTATTTTTGTATTGATCGTAAAATTTTTGTATATCCCTTCAAGAAAATAAATATTTTTTAAAACAGACGTGACAGAATTTTTTTATTATTTTTTCTGGATAGTTCTACCTGAACACAAAATAAAATAACAACTTTCAGCTGGGGTATGAAAACCGTGTAAACTAGTGTAATTAATAAAAAATAAAATTCCACCTGACACGTAAATCGATCCATGTTCCCTTTACTTATTCTTCTATTAAATTAGACTAACAACTTTTGATTAATGTTAAAATCATGTATCACCCCAAATTCTACAGTGCTGCCATCTCTTATCAACTATAATATTAAATAATATCTCATTATTTCCATAATAAAAGTATACCTACTAGATAAAAATTATGTCACGTTAATACCCAATCAACGTGACCAATTAATCAATAATTAAGTAATTATTTTAATCACAGTACGTTAAAACAGTGACAATAACAAACGTCATACAATATAGACGTCTTTGTAGATGGTTCAAGTGAGTTCAAAAAGTTGGAGGACATCGGGCAAGGGTGGATGTTGATGGATGGTTGATAGGATCAAGGCAGATCGACGGCACGGAGACTACCCTTGATATTAAGTAGATATAAAGTAGGTATACACTGCCTCATTGGGCGATTCCCGAGATGAAAATAGTATTTTACAATTCGAATTTTATGCATCATCAAAAGTGCATAATTTCACGTTAACAGTGTACCTAAAGGTGATAAAGAAATAAAGATATATTTAATATTTTTCATTTAATATTTAAGAATTTTTATTTAGGTACTATATTACTAAGTGACTTCACAGGTGTTATTTTAAATTTAAATAATTTGAAAAAATACTTGTGTGAATTATTAATGAAGTTAATTCAATTGAGTCTTTAAATTGTTTATTACTTTTCAAAAATGTTTTCTCAAAAGAAGCGGGTACGTTTTAAAAGCGAATAAATTCTGTCGAATGTAATTTAGTCGAAGGTAATTTAGAGAGGAGTAGAGTAGACATTTTGTGACAATGAGGAACACAACCAGTGTGAACTAAATAATAATTATTAGTGTCTACAAAGACACTATAATAATAATTTTATTTACAAAAGTATATAAATCAGCCTGTGACGCATAAAGATTGCGAGATAAAAATGATGGCGCGCTTTAATTATAAACTGACATGACAGTGAATATTGGTAATCATTTGAAGACAACATACACGCAAAGATACAACGCAATGCTGAATTAATTATATGACAAAATTATTTTAATAATTGAGCCTACGAAACTTACGAAGTGGTGATTAATTGGTAACTTTTCGCGCGGTGATTTACGAAATTGGTGATTAATTATTTTCTTCTTTAAAAATATTAGACAAAATGTGTTGTTTATTACGCAGTGATATTACGTAATTTAATTTGAAAAATTGTGTGTTAATTTAATATTTATCCAGTTGTCGAGTAAATGAATTAAAGTATTTTTTTTTTGTTTTAGAATATTCGGAAGTGCCTGTTCCGACTACACAGACTGTGAATATTGCGAGGATCGGAGACGACGTTACAAGAAACCCGGTAACACACAAAAGTGAGTAAACGTAATTATTCATTATACCAGAATACCTTTAAATATTTTATATTTACTATCTAGCCATAATTAGAAGATTGATCTAAAATAGGTATTTATGTGTAAAATGGGCGTGTAAATTTGAAATAACGCATTACGCCGTTAATTAAAAAAAAATGATATTGTGTGCGTATTACCTATATACATACACACGTCATTTAAACATAATTATACTGACTGTAGACCAGCAACTCGAACAACCCCTAATATATAATCTTATTTCATCATCATTACTAGTAGCAACTTAATTCAATCAATAATAAACACAGATTTAACTTTAAATGAACTGTAAGCATAACTTACTTCCGAAATTTCGACATCGTTATGCTAGAAAGGTACTGACATGTTCCAAAGACCGAAGGTTGCAATCAACGTCCACATGAGATAAGTAAAAGCTCTAGAAATAAAAGTTAGGTACCTATTTTTAAAAGCCTCATGTTGTCAAATTAAGCGTCACAAATAATTAATTTATCTGTGACGTTTTATCTCCCGCGCACATTCGAGTATTTGTAAGTTATGTTGTTAATTTCATGTCTATTATCATAACTAATGAACTTATTTATAATTTGGCACATGATTTCTTTAGAGTAACGATAAAAACCGTCTTGCTCATACGACGATAGATCTAGAAACGTTTAGTAACGAGCAACTAGCATTACTAACTATTAAGTAATGCACTAACCGAAGGATAATTCTTCTATTTCGATAATTTTCAAAATGCTATACACATCAATAGGCTATAAGTGGCGACTGCTGACCGAAGACCTCTTCACACTCGGAGAAGGTTGGAGCAAAAATGCTGTATATTATTTTAAAAAGAACACCAAAATTGTCTTGCACTAATATAAAGAATGTATCGTGGATATATCGTTTACAAACACAAAATTGCGAAAATCCTTGCATTAAATATTTCATCACGGGAAGAGGTTCACTGACCACAAAGGCCTAACCCCCACTCGCCTACCCTAACTCTCGCTTTTCTACAATCCCTTTTGTAATTAACGACTTCCCGTAACACTGGTGATACTGATGATGTTGTCCACCTAGCATGGCAAGCAATATGATGCCAATAATCTTATGAGACTGACAAAAGATTCTTCCTTTTCTTGTTTTATTTATAGTTCAATTTTTGTATCCGCAGATACTGGTCCCCAAGTATAACGAGCCATAGTTACTGCAGCGCCATGAGTCGCGCGGAAGCCGAGCCCCTGCTGCAGGGCGCCGTCACGCCAACTTATAGAGCTGTCAGTTCTGAAAGCATTGATTCTTTGGTAAGTTGACGGTTTAGCCTTTATTAGATGTTGATAAATATAATGACTATATCGACAGAAATATGTATCTTACTCTGCAATTAATAATGGTACTAGCTAGCCAGTTACTTCGTCCGCGTGTCGGTGGGATAAAAAGTGGCCTATATGTATGTGTATATGTATGCAGACCTCGTCCACCTACAATCCATCCTTGTTCTAAATTTCGACTCGATTCCTTCAGCCGTTTTGACGTGAAGAAGTAACAAACAAACAAACGGACATACAAACATTTATAATATTAGTAATTGGGATTCAGGATAAAATCTATACATATAATAAAATTGTAGAAAAGTGCCGTCTGTACATTGAAAATAAAAATAAAAAAAATAACAGGGGCTATTGTTATGTCGATGTCGAACCCAAAAATGTAACTAAATTTTTTTTTGTCTGTTTGTCTGTTTGTCTGTTCACGCTAATCTCAGAAACGGCTTATCCGAGTTGGATGCGGTTTTCACGAATATATTGTGGTATGCTTCAGTTATGCTTTAGTGTTTGTTTCATGTCAATCGGTTCATAAATAAAAAAGTTACGTCAAATTAAAGAATCACGTCGAACACTATCTATCTATCTATATATATATATAATAAAATTGTAGAAAAGTGCTGTCTGTACATTGAAAATAAAAATAAAAAAAATAGCAGGGGCTATTGTTATGTCGATGTCGAACCCAAAAATGTAACTAACTTTTTTTTTGTCTGTTTGTCTGTTTGTCTGTTCACGCTAATCTCAGAAACGGCTTATCCGAGTTGGATGCGGTTTTCACGAATATATTGTGGTATGCTTCAGTTATGCTTTAGTGTTTGTTTCATGTCAATCGGTTCATAAATAAAAAAGTTACGTCAAATTAAAGAATCACGTCGAACACTATCTATCTATCTATATATATAATAAAATTGTAGAAAAGTGCTGTCTGTACATTGAAAATAAAAATAAAAAAAATAGCAGGGGCTATTGTTATGTCGATGTCGAACCCAAAAATGTAACTAACTTTTTTTTTGTCTGTTTGTCTGTTTGTCTGTTCACGCTAATCTCAGAAACGGCTTATCCGAGTTGGATGCGGTTTTCACGAATATATTGTGGTATGCTTCAGTTATGCTTTAGTGTTTGTTTCATGTCAATCGGTTCATAAATAAAAAAGTTACGTCAAATTAAAGAATCACGTCGAACACTATCTATCTATCTATACATATAATAAAATTGTAGAAAAGTGCCGTCTGTACATTGAAAATAAAAATAAAAAAAATAACAGGGGCTATTGTTATGTCGATGTCGAACCCAAAAATGTAACTAACTTTTTTTTTGTCTGTTTGTCTGTTTGTCTGTTCACGCTAATCTCAGAAATGGCTTATAAATATATATATATTTAACAGGGTGCGGAAAAGGTGATAGTGGTTTTATTCCTCAGATTCCTCTCATTCCAAAAAATTTTCCGTTTATTTTTAAACGAATTCAGTTTCCAGTGAGCCTATGTTTCGCCATGACAATTAATAAAGCTCAAGGTCAGACTCTAAAAGTTGTGGGTATAGATCTAAGTATCAGCTGTTTTTCGCACGGTCAATTGTATGTGGCTCTGTCCCGTGTTAGCAATCCCAGCAGCCTGTATGCTTTCACCCCCGATGGCCATACGTCTAATATTGTATATAGAGAAGCATTACAGTAAAGTAGAGAAGCATTACAGTAAAATGACTGTGATTATGATCCAAATCTAAAATAAAAATAAGTCAATATTTAAAAAAAAAACGCTGCTCATAGTCACTATTCTACGCGAACGAAGTCGCGGGCACAGCTAGTAATTAAGACTATGTGTAGATAAGATACCGTGCTTAATTAACTAGATGCATTATTAGACTTTCAGGCTTCTGAATATCTCAAGCAACTAGTTGTAGACTTTAAGGTGACGACTTGAATTGAATTGATTTGAATTTCGTTATAAATCCTCGAGATAGTAACGCTAATTGCTCAGGAATAACCTAGAGACTTCAATAATACTGGCCGTACTAGATGTCTACGCTATGTCTCAATGCCTAATCCTTATCCTTACTATTATAAATGGGAAAGTGAGTTTGTTTGTTTGTTCCACTTTCACGCCGCAATTTCTAAACCGATTGCTTTAAATTTTTGCAGGCGTAAAGTTAGAAGTCCAGAATAAATAATAGGGTACTTTTTATCCCGGAAAACTTTGATATTCCCGAGGGAAAACAAAAGAATTGGTATAGATGGCGCTGTGTGTATTGGTATATGTCACATGCTTTATCCTTTTGTGACGCGAGCGAAGCCGCGGGTAAAAGCTAGTAGACAATAAAGACCAAGGACTAAGCATTTAGGACATGCATGCCATCTCACGTCATTTCATCTTTTCTCATTTATTAAAAGACGTTGTGTGAATGATATCATATTGACTAGATTTAAACGAGAGAGATCTTCTAATAACTCAGTAATAATAATTATATTCTGCCAAGACATAGCCTTGTCAGTTTAGACGATATTAAGATAAAATAATCACAATAAGAGGTCACATCACATCTCGATTGTGTTATCACGCTAAATGCGAAGTTGTAAAATGTAGCGAAGCGCCTAAGTATTGGTATTTTCATGATAAAGTAATTATTATAAAATTATAATACGTGCGTATCGCCGCGTGCCAACGCCGGATAAGGGATGAATAAACATAGTTTGATGATGTTTCTACGTTCTGTAGGTAATTATGTGTAGTACCTAAGTCTTGGTTATCCAGAAACTAGAGTTTGTAACATAGAAAGTCAGTGAAAGGGCTTTACGTTACTACGTTATGATGAATGTTGAATCGTCTAGCTCAAATCTGTATCTAATTTCACTGAATAATTAGTAACTAGAGAACTCAATTAAAATATAGTTGCCTGAGTAGTTATATAAACAAAGATAAGATACAACTATTCATTACATTAACGTAATTAGCAGCTTCTATTTACTATCGCGCGTTCCTTCCTATACCGGTCGCTTCCGGACTAAACTACATACTTCGAAGTTATCAAGGTATGTGACATATTTAAATATTGTCAAGACTTATTTGAGTATTTAAAGTTTGTTAAATAACCGGTCTCAATCTAAAACCGATTTGTGACGTCATTTGTATGGAGTTAAAAAAACCTAGATCGGTGATTAATTTCGAAGATTAATCATAGAGTAAAGAAGGTATCGTTGGATGACTAAAGACCAATGTACGACTATTGGACAAGAGGTGTCTGATTTGATTGCCATAAGAAACCAATTGCCGTACACCAGGCACAATATCATACTGGCAAAAAATTAAAGATTACATCATTAGCTTATTTACAGCCCATTGCTGAGCAAAGGCTCCTTCTCGTACATAGAAGGTATGAGCATTAATCACCACACTTGCTCAAAGCGGATTGCTGATTTCAAACTTATAATTAAAGTGCTTAATTGTGTCTATTCCTTGCATAAAACTGGCGTTATGTTACGTTACATTTGTAATTATCGTAAAATGCTATCATTGTTAATTTAAGTAAATGGATCAGCTATTTTTAGCCAAGGATACTACGATACAAACTGATAAATTGACGCCACTACTCCAGTGTTTAGTCTGTTTCGCGATACCATTCAGACAAACTTAATTATGTAATTAATTTAATTAACATGCTCTCAATACTTGGTGGCTCAGAGGTCTAAGACGCTCGCTTCTCAAGCATAAGGGTTCGAAACCTACCAATAGCAACTACCAATGTGGCTTTTCCAAGTTACCTATATGTACTTTCTAAGATTATTATTTATACTATTTAGTAATCATTGATAAACGGTGAGGGAAAACAGCGTAAGGGAACCTGGACTTATAAATTCTAATTAGGTATAATTTTAAAATCGCCAACCTGCATTGAGCAAGCATGGTGATTAATGCCTTTCCATGTGAGAAGAGTTTTTTGGTCGGCCGTGGGCACTGAAAAAGGCTATTGATGATGAAAATGTAAATAACTGTCGATGAACCTAACAAATAAAACAAAAAGAAATGAAAATATATAAATAAATAATGAACGTGAAGTTACTACATAACTTACATATATATATCTATTTATATTTAATCACCTACGATAGAAATTAAATTGTAAGTAATTGAATGCGTTTGTGTTATCAGTAGGATACACATTTGTTTATAAATAAAAGGGTATAAACTTTTACCTTGAAATTGTCCTTGCATGTCAGTGCAGACTTTTATCAAGACATGATGGGCAGACATATACTCCTATCCCTTAAAATATAGAACCTATAAGCACAAATAAAACCGAACCATCGCTTTTGTCCGCTCCGGACCATATTGGATAGTGTGCATACTACAGCAGCGGTCCGTCGCACATTTTTAATGGATATCATTGGAGCGCTGAACCAAATTGACGGTACGGCATAGGTATTGGCCTTGGTGTAGGTACCTAGTTGATTTACACTTTTCCAGCCGAAATTAATGACCAACTAGTCTATTCTTTAGCTTTCAATTCGAAATTCTACACTTCAACAGTTTTATTGTATAGACTAGATGTTGCCCGCGTCTTCATCCGCGTTGCATATGTATGATTCTTGTATCCAATGGGAGCATTTAATCGGGATAAAGAGTATCTTTTAATATATAAGACTGCCTCGTTGGCTGATCGGTCGCAAGTGCGACTGCCGGGCATGGAGTCTCGGGTTCGATTCCCGGGTCGGGAAAAGTATTACTGGGTTTTCAAAAAAATCTCATTAGTAGCACGGAGTCTGGAATTGTGCCCGGTATATGACAATAGGCTCACCTCCTATTACATGGGACTCATAACATAAATACTGAAAAGTGGTTGTTGAAAAGTGGTTGTACAGTGGCATAATGTACACCTCTATTGCCGGAATACTGAAACGTTACTCAATTTTAAGTCGTGCTTATATCGTTTGAGTAACGTTTCAGTATTCGGGCATATGTTATGTAAAAAGTATGTAATCTCCTAAACCAGCCCATACCCTGCCTAAACAAACAAACTTTCACATTTGTAATATTAGTGTGATTGATTATAATAACAGCCCATAATCAACAATATTTTACCCATCTTCGAAATGAAAACCTTCAACATTTTCTCACTCCGAATTTAAAATCGAATCTCTTTCCTAGCAACTATATAAACACAGAATCCAATGATTTTACCAAAATTTATCTTGCATCCGACGTGGTCTGGTCAAAGGCCTTTCTGAATTTATCAGCACTAAGCAACAACTATAGACAGTGTAGACCCACTGCTGTGAGTTTAGCGTGATAATAATTTAAATATAATTACAATATGTTATTACAGATCTCATCACGTGTGACCAAACGAGGTAATATCGTAGAGCAATCCCAGACGTTTTCTCAAGTCATTGTGCCTTATCTGCTCTGGCTGTTTTGACACATTTGACGAATTTTTGTCCAATATATTTCATACAATATAATAATGTTTCGTATGAGTGTGGGAAAGCCATGCTTTGGCACGAATGGGCTGGCTCGACCGGAGTGATACCACGGTCTCACAGAAAACCGACGTGAAGCAACGCTTGCGTTGTGTTTCGTTCTGTGAGTGAGGTTACCGGAGGCCCTTTTACCGTATCTAAAAATCTCCGCAATCCCTGAATCCCCAACAATCCTCAAACTCCTACTCCCCAAAAGGCAGTAAACGCATACTTGTAACGCCTCTAGTGTTCCAGGTGTTCATGGGCGATGTCGATTGCTTACCATCAGGTGATCCGTCTGTTCGTTTACCGGCTTATCCAATAAAATAAACTAACAAAGACTGTAATATTCTTTCATAGGTACATATTTCCCGCAATAACCATCGCCGATAACCCTCCTTTTCGCTTCGCTGTAGTCGGTATCACTCAGTTTAAAAGATATCGTCTAATTTTCTAAAGCCAAATTTCACGAACTACCTAATTTTGTGTACATATTCCAAGTACGTACATACGTAAGACAATGTATAACCCAATCTATTTTCTTCTAGGGTCCAGCAGAACTATCGTCCAATGACGTCCTCACAACGTTCCACAATACATTCGAGAACACTTTCAAACCAGAAAGAGTAAAAAAACAAAGTTCGCTAGTCACTATGTAAGTTGAACAATTATACTAATTAATGGTAGGTTTACGAAGACTTGGCCATCTTCATCAATATCATCGACAATGAACATGAACGCAAGAGGTCAGCACCAATGATTCTGCGTTGTTACTCGTCACAACTACTACACTTCTCGTTGGTGTTGTCCGACTTTGGGATTAGTTAAATGGATTACATATTTCAAAGAGACCGAACAGTAGCGATAACTCTAATTCTCATCAGTATGACGTGGCCGTCTTAAACTACGTGCACTGGCTATTGTGTGCAAGTGCACGTATCGACGACCTTTTCGAATGATTCTTTCTAAAAATGCCCCACACTAGGATTTCTCCTGTATCGTGCATACAAGTTCACATAACACCACCCAGACACGAAACAACTATTTGTGGATCACACAAAGGTTTACTCCGTGTGGGAATTGAACCCGCTATATGTTGCGGGCCGGTTGCCGTGTAACGTGTAGCGGGTTTGCGTCCATCGTAGAAATTGTCGGTCCTTCGTGGCCCCTGAGGATGGGGGCCCTGGGCACGGGCCTCGAGTGCCCTCATGGTAAAAAAGGGTACCGAGCATGATAATTGCAAACCCTTCTTAGTAGAAGAAAGAGATCCCTAGTCCAACACTGGACTACCATGAGCTGTTTCACATCATACATCACATCAACAGCTCATAATGCCCACTGCTGAGCAAAGCCTCTTCTCAAATGGAGGTTTGAGCATTAATCACCACGCTTGCTCAATGCGGGTTGGCGATTTCAAACTTATAATTAGGAATTATAAGCCCAGGTTTCTTCACGATGTTTTCCTTCACCGTTTGTCAGTGGTGTCTAAATAATCTTAGAAAGTACGTATAACTCGGAAAAAGTCACATTGGTACTTGCCGTTATATAGTAGGTTGCGAATCCGCACCCTCATGCATGAGAAGCGGGTGTCTTAAACCTCCGAGCCACCACGAAACACGAGCTGTTTAATGGTGATTATTATGTATTCTTATTACTTACAAATGTTTTTTCCAGTTTCTCAGTATGGAACACAATAATGGGTTCATCGTTGCTGACGATGGCGTGGGGCGTAGAGCGCGCAGGATTGCCAGCCGCGCTGCTATTACTCGCGTTCATGGCAGCCCTATGCCTCTACACAGCTTACGTGCTGCTCAAGGTCAATAAACACCACGGTGAGTTATCTACATAATACCTTAATTATTATAGTTAAGTTGCTGTATTAACTCAGTCTAACTTCACTTAAATTCCCTTACATCATTTTTGTTCAGTTTTCTAGAATGAGAAACACACACTGAAAATCACCTTTTTGGAAAAAATTTCGGTGATGGCCAACTAATGGTCTGATCACTTGCAACTACAGTCCCGAATGGAATCCTGGCTATCATAAAATACCTGATATAGTGTATTTAAATTGTAGACAAAATCAACAGCCGTTCGCAATCCACTGCTAGACTCTCTCTCTACATAAGAGACAAAAATGGTATAGGTACTTTACCTGACTCTCAAAAATATAGAAACTCTTTACACCAGTGTTCTAATTGTCCAGGTAGTGCAAGCTGTGAAGTTCCCGCTCTCTGTCGTGAGTTGCTGGGTCCTTGGGCGGAGGTGGTGGCCCACGTGTTCAGCGTGCTCGTGCTGCTCGGCGCCAACATCGTCTACTGGATACTCATCTCCAACTTCCTATACTTCACCGTCAATTATTTTATTGGTAAGTTGTACTTTATAGTTGCTGTCTATGTTTTTATGGGGTGGAACGAAGACCATAAAATGGGATGGAACGACAAACGAGCAGACGGGTCTGGAGTCATCTGATGGAGGGCTATCGGCGCCACCCACAGACACTTGTATTACTAGAGAATAAGAGGAGTATAAGTGCGTTGCCTTTGGGGATACCTTAAAGCGTTAAGTTAAAGACCGGATCTTTTTTTTATACTTTTCTTATTCTTTACAAACTCTTGTCATCAGATCTTATGTGGTAAAAAATATTTCTACTTTTATATCAATTATCGAGGAAGACTAAGTGTGGGAGAGCCATGCTTCCGCTCGAATGGGCCGGCTCGACCGGAGTGATACCACGGCCTTACAGAAAACTGACGTGAAGCAACGCTTGCGTTGTGTTTCGTCGTGTGAGTGAGGTTGCCGGAGGCCCAATTATCCTCCCCTTCCCCAATCTCCCCAATTCCTGAATCCCCAACGATCCTCAAACTCCTAATCCCCAAAAGGCCGGTAACGCACTTGTAACGCCTCTGGTGTTCCAGGTGTCCATGGGCGACGCCGATTGCTTACCATCAGGTGATCCGTCTGCTCGTTTACTTCATCTTATTCTGCCAAACTCAAATATCTTTATAACTTAACTCCTCAGATCTCTCATCTTCCAACGTGACGCAGTACAACACGTCCTTGCTGTGCCCCCGTCACGCGAACCAGTCCCTGCTACTAGTGGAGCCGGAGGAAGACTCCCCCTACTGGGGACTGCACACTACGGTGCCAGTCTACGTCGCACTCTTGGTGTTCCCGCTACTGAACTTCAAGGACGTGTCGTTTTTCACCAAGTTTAATTCGTTGGGTAAGTTTATTGTAGTTATTCTGATCACATTTGTTTCACTTCTAGTAGATTTTGCTTTGAAAGCTAAGTGACTAACTTTGACTGTGACATTATTTATCGGTTATGGCCTCTGATTAATTAAGGGTTTAGCAAACATTTTAGTTTTTTATGTAATAGGCGGGTACAGATGCACATAGATGACCAGGTCGTGAATAATCGGTGCTGCCCATGGATATGGATACCCGTAACTCAGAAGTTATTAGTGAATTCTTGTGAATTTTTGAGGATTAACGGGTATTGGGCCTAAAGTCTGAGTAGTATACATTTTGGACTTATGATATACATACATAACATCACGCCTTTTATCCCTGAAGGGGTAGGCAGAGGTGTACATTATGCCACTGTACAATGTAACACCCACTTTTCACTATTTATGTTATGAGTCCCATGTAATAGGGGGTGAGCCTATTGCCATATACCGGGCACAATTCCAGACTCAAGAATTTTTAAAAACCCAGTAATACTTTGCCCGACCCGGGTATCGAACCCGAGACCCCTTGCCCAGCAGTCGCACTTGTGACCGCTCGGTCAATGAGACTTATGACTTTACAAGATATTCTACTTTCCAGGTACATTATCAGTAGCCTATCTATTAATCTTCGTATTAGTAAAAGGCTACGCGTGGGGCATCAACATTGGGTCCATGATGACGGAGACACACGCACTCCGCAACGCGGCTGTGCTCAGCGGGATGTTGGCCCTGTCCTTCTATATTCATAACATCATCATCACTATCATGGGGAACAATGCGAGACAGGAGAATAATGTAACTATTTATTATTAAATTTTTCTTGTACCTATGTATTTAAACTAATTATTTTATAAGCTACGTTTAAAAAAACCGACTTCGACTTTTTTGAAAATACTTTTGTGAAAATAGCATCAAAATTCGGTTTAGCCAATCGCAAGTTAACCGCTCATAAACGTACATATATAAATACATACGTGCATAAAGGCACAAACAGATACTCCTTTATTGAAGTCGGTTAAAAAAAGAAAACTTGGTCTCATTAAGATTTTCTTATAATTATGTCGTATTTGCATCTACAAAATTCAAATAATTATCCACATCTAGACTAAAAAGCAAGAATTTGTGAATTAAAAGTGGTCAGCATGGTATTGAACATAACAATCCTCTTATCCCCGAAGGGGTAGGCAGAGGTGCACACAAAAGTAACACCCACTTTTCACTATTTATGTTACGAGTCTCACGTAATAGGGGGTGAACCTATTGCCATATTCCGGGCACAATTCCAACCTCCGTGCTACTACTGAGAATTTTTTTTAAAACCCAGTAATACTTTACCCGACCCGGGAATCGAACCCGAGTCCCCTTGCCCGGCAATCGTACTTGCGACGTCGCGGAGAACCTAACGGGTAACCGGGGCTCCGGGTCGACGTGCAGGAGAAGGAACGGGGTGGTTTTTAGTCAGTAAGAGTCTGACACTCCCTCCCGTCTCACCCAGGCGGGAGCAGTCATTCGATGATTTTCCCCATTAAAAAAAAATCGTACTTGCGACCACTGAAGTATTACAAAATAATGAATTTGAGAATTGAGAGACAGCTTCCACATCTTCAGAATGGGCAGTAATTTCAGTTACCTAAGACTACATTTCTTGAATTGAGATAAGAGTTAAACTACACTCTATGTATAATCCATTCAACTCAAAATATTACAGTTTAAAAAAAAAAAAATTAACAATTATGATTTAACATGATGTCTTTTTTTTGATAAGCGAACTTTTTGTTTTTTTTTTTTTTTTTGTAACATCCTGTTCTATTATAATGCATGTCGTGGCAGCCTTTAATTAAGGCTACTCCATAGTGTTAAAATATGTTAAAAAAACCTATCATGTATTTTGGTGTATGCTTTGTTGGTTGTCCTTAAATAAATAAATAAATAAAGATAGGATAATCTGTTGGATAATGTGATTAAATAAGTGCTTGTGTTTCAGGGTAGGGATCTGACGATAGCATTTCTGCTGGTGACGATAACATATACTTTAGTGGGAGCCGTGTTCTATATCTGCTTCCCACTCGCCAAGTCCTGCATTGAAGATGTGAGTACCAATATATATATATGTCTTGACCCCCTACTCCTCCCCTGGGTATGTAAAACCTGATGCTAAGCGTGGATACGTCTTCATTATTCATGGTAGAGAAGGCCCATATAATCAAAGTCAAATCATTTATTTTCCATCCAATTTAAACCATAATGTGGTACTTTAGAAACGTCAACAAATCTATCTATATAAAAATGAAACCCTTTTCCCGTTGTCACGCCATAACTTGAGAACGGCTACACCGATTTGGTTGATCTTTTTTTGTTGTGTTTGTTATTGTCAGGAGAAGATTCTTATGATATAAAAAAATCCTGAAAATCTTATGAGAACGGGAGAAAACGGGATTGCGCGTACGAAGTCGCGGGCAATAATAGTCTGTCAGTCTGTCCGTCAGTGAAGCTAGCTGCTCGTTCCAAAATGTAGATTCGAATGGAGAAGAACGAGCAAGGAACTACATTCGTTACTCTTTTAAAAAATATATATATTGTAAACATAAAGTGAAATAAACTAACGTTGGCTAGTGACTATGTAATGTTCTATTTTCAGAATTTGTTGAATAACTTTGAGATGCACGATGTGATGACTGCCTTGGCTAGAATACTGCTGCTGTTCCAAGTGAGTACCCGTACAATGTAAACATATCTTTATGAGATAATGTATGATATGGCAAACAAGCAGACGGGTCACCTAAGGACTAGAGAAACTTCCAAGCATTGCAGCCTTCTTCTGAGAGTGTCAAACTCTTACTGACTAAAAACCACCCAGTCCCGACTCCTGCACTTCGAGCCGGAGCCCCGGCAATCCGTTAAGTTCTCCGCGGCAGCCTACTTCAAGAGGAGCAAGGAGTTTTATAGAACTCTGTGTGTAATTTCACTCATTTCACGGTGTTCTGTGAGGCTGTAGCGCGTAGTATTATTCCAGTCGGAACCACCCATTTATACTGCAGCGTTCCTCTCCCACAGACCTCAGTTCTCCCACAATCATCATTTTTAAATTATTTTCGAAAGTCGTAAGTACCTGAAAATCTAAAAAAACTATCCTGAATTTAATCTAATTATACTTTTACCTACAGGTAATAACAGTATACCCGCTAGTAGCATTCATGCTCCGCACGGAAGCGATCCTGCTCCTCCCGTTCGAGAAGTCCCGGCTGCTGACCATCACCATCAACCTCTCCATCATGACGCTCTGCATACTCGTCGCCTGCTTCTGTCCCAGTATAGGGACTATAATCAGGTCAGTTACCTTTCCGCTGCATCGTTGGCCAAGTGGTCGCGAGTGTGACAGCCGAGCAAGGGGACGGGTCGGGCAAAGTATTACTGGGATTTTGAAAAATGTCAGTAGTAGCATGGAGTCTGAAAATGTGCCCGGTATATGGCACTAGGCTCACCCCCTATTACATGGGACTCATAACATAAATGGTGAAAAGTGGGTGTTACATCACACAGTGGCATTAAGTGCTGCATTGTGCACCTCGGCCTACCTTTTCGGGGATAAAAGGCGTGATGTTAAGTTATGATACTTTTCCTTTGATATTATAAAAAAATTTGTACCTACCTAAGGTAGATACGTAAATAGGTACACAAGTAGACTGTGCTGTAAGTATTTTGGGCCAGTCAAGTTTTGGAGGTGCTCTGATATTTATTTTTAGTATAATGTTCTGTTTTCTGATATTTAGAATTTATTTTCTTCAATTGAGAGGGGTAAAACATCTGTCTCATTTTAAGAACAAAAAAAATAATTGATTGGCAACCCCGATATCCCGCGTGGTACCAAATTAAAACAATTCCGTGATGTCACTAATAATTTTAAATCACATAGGAACACATTAAGATTAAAAAGCACATTATCATGCGATTGTACTTTATTTCATTTATATAATGATTTTTAATTAATCAATTGAGTAGAAAACATCTGTAATCTTGCATTTCATCTGTCACAGATACACAGGCGCAGTGAGCGGTCTAGTCCACATCTTCGCGCTCCCCTCCCTCCTTCAGATCCGGTCACTGCAGCTCCGGGGCAAGCTGACCTGGTGGAAGACCGTTTTCTATTGCGCTATACTAGTCTTCGGAGCTGTTAACCTACTCATGCAGTTCTTCATCAATGAATAATATTGACTTACTATCTAATCTAAGTTGTTGACAAGAAAATTTTGATCACTATGTAAAATATAGCATAAATGTTGCTCGACTGCCTAAATGCAGTGACATGCAAAAATAATCTCTATTGACAAGGTTTAAAGTTCCATATAAAACTTATTTTGGATAACCCAATTCGTTCAAGGTGAATGACTATATAGACCAAAGGGTCCCTGTAGAAAGAAGTTGAAATATTTCAAGTAGATAAATAATGATTTTACTATTATAATCCATACAAAGTATTGTAAGCTACAGACGAAGGAAAATTGCTCAATAATTCTCAATTTATAGAATCTATTATTGACTTACCTCTAATTAGCCTTTGGACTAATTACAATTAAGCTATTTATGAATGCGACGGCGACCTCTCGCGTCCGGCTCTGGTTCAGGCCATGGTGCGGAGCGAGGGGGACTGGGATGCCGTCACCTCCTTCTGCGAAGCAGTCTGAGAGACTGTGATCTGATCTGTGAAGCAATGCGAGATCGCGTGACGATCTCCGGCCACCGTAAGCGCGGGCCTGCGGACGGCGAGCATGGGTGGCTCCCCGTCCGACCAGAAACAGACCCGAGCGTACGGCGCCGAGCGTTCCGCGCGCGCCTCAAAGAGCCATCAGACCACCACAGATTTGCCGGGGTTCCGGCTCCGAAGAGCAGGAGTAGGAACGGGGTCGTTTTTAGTTAGTAACAGTCTGACACTTCCTCTCGCCTCACCCAGGGTGGGAAAAGTAATTGGATAATCCCCCCCCCCCTCAAAAAAAGATGTTTATGGATACCTCGTTGGCCGACTGGTTGCAAGTGCGCAGCCTACCGAGCAAGGGGTCTTGGGTTCGATTCCCGAGTCGGGCAAAGCACGGTGTCTGGAAATGTGTCCGGTATATGGCCATATACTCCACCTCCATTACATGGGACGCATAACATAAATGTCCGCATAACACCTCTGCCAAACCCCTCGGAAATAAAAGGCGTGATGTTATATATAATAAAGTATTTATGAATAGTGGTGTATCTACTTTTGACCATGCGAGGGAAGTTGCATGATAGAACTAGTATCTAAGAAGTTAAATCTCAGTGTTCAGTACAACGCATTTTAAGGATTTATTGTGCAAAGCAATAAATAAAAATATTAAATAATAATTATAATTACATAATATGTATACCAAAGTAAAAATATCTAGTCATATATTATTATGTTATAGAAATAAATAAAACTAGTAACTTAAGTAAACAACGTTTTATTTTTAATTACAAATAGGTATATTAATAAATTATAATAAAGAATAAAACCTTTTTGAATACAATCTTCAAATTGTCTTTGGTTTATTTTCATTTTCACCTTTACATAAAAATATCATATTTATATTGTAAATAAAATCTTCATTTATGTTTAGAAAATATAAAACTTTGTTATACTATTTTAAAAAGTTTAAAGTTCAATTTATGATTATTTATTAATCATTCTTTTAAATATTGTACCTAACCCTTTGAGTACCGTCATTATAGACACAATTAAAGAACAATAGGTTGCGGTCACCGGTGTCCTCGCGGTGTTTGATAGTTTAACTCGTCGAGTACCAGTTTTGTAGACACAATTATAGAACAATAGGTTGCGGTCACCGGTGACCGCTTGGTGTTTGACAGTTTAATTAAGAAATACAAAGGCTTTAACTAAAAATGACTGATTACTCACGTAAATATACTTAGAAAAGCTCTAGTTTAAAGTCGTAGACGGATTCTTCCTGATGTCGAATGGATGTCATCATGTTGGATCTCGGATATCGCTGCGACTGCGCAAGCAGCCTGCCTCGTTGGCCGAGTGGTCACAAGTGCGACTGCCGTGCAAGGGGTCTCGGGTTCGATTCCCGGGTCGGGCAAAGTATTATGAGTTTTTAAAAAAATCTCAGTAGTAGCACGGAGTCTGGAAGTATGCCCGGTATATGGCAATTGGCTCACCCCCTATTACAGGGGACTCATAACATAAATAGTGAAAAGTGGGTGTTACATTATACAGTGGCATAATGTGCACCTCTGCCTACCCCTTTGGGGATAAAAGGCGTGATGTTATGTATGTACGCGCAAGCGGCTCATGAGGAAGAGTCCCTCTGTGGCTCGAAACTAGTAGAGCTTTTATTTAATATTTACGTGAGTTAATAAATATACATTTTAGTTAATTTAATATGTTTCACGATGGTTATTATAAAAAAGGCTTCGTCCGACTTCGGAGATCGGTCGGAAATCTTCGTATTTATCAAATTAAAAGCCAAATTGCGATGGCAAGATAGTACTATGTTTACATTCATTTCACATTGATATACATCTAAGTATAATAATTGCTATAAGTATTTATGCTATGCCTATTATTTATAGAAAATATACGTTATACAGCTTTTGATCACGCATCGTGATTAGCGTAGATTTAACACTTAATTTAATAAATAAATAATTCCAACGTATTGAACTGCCATATTTTTTTAAACTATATTAATATAGTACAGAGACAGTAACCAACTACCGGATAAGGTGTCTCGAATTCGATTACCGGGGCGGGCAAAGTATTACTACAAAAAAAATCCAGTCGCAGCACGGAGTCTGGAATTGTGCCCGATATATGGCACTCCCTTTTACATGGGACTTATAAAATAAATTGTAAAAAGTGGGTGTTACATTGTACAGTGGTATCAAGTGCCGTGATGTGCCTCTGCCTATCCCTTCGGGGTTAATGGCGTGATGTTATGTTATTTATGTTTGTTATTGTGATTGGCTACTTACGACCAATGGTTGCAGAGGTGGTTCAAAACTAACTAACTGTATATAACAATAGTGACAATAGTTACTGTCCCTGTACAGAGTCAATCTTGACTTCATACCTGCTACTAAATATCTACTGACTACCATATTAAAACAGTTTTAATAGTAATTAATTTAGTTAATTGGGTACTTTCCTTAATCAAAAATAAGTCGTTTCGACTGTTCAATACAATAAAATATTAAAAAATAATCACTTTCATTAATTATTGATTTTATGACCGACTTAATTTTAGTATAATTCCAGCAAAATTTTAAGAATTAAGTACGCTGTTTGACATTATTAAAACGTGACGTCACAATACATAATCTCCAAAAAAATGCATAGAAAACTGTCGTTTTCGACAATTTGAATAAAGTATTGAATTTAACTAGTTGGCGAGCACCCAATTAGAAGAATATAAAAATGTAAATCTATACATGTAACAAAATCACAAGAAAAAACTACACATTATAATTATATTTTTGATACAATAAAATACAAATCAACAAACTGTATTTCACTCAGATTATAATTGAGAACCTCCTCCTTTGCTGAAGTCGGTTAAAAAACTATAATATTTGCGCTACGGATAACAGAGAGATTAATATACGTTATTACTTATTATTTAACCATTATTAAATAATATTATTATTATGTTTAACAACAATCCATTATAGGAACTTATTTTATAACTTACAAGTATTAAAATTACATAGATTTGCCTACTAAAGATAGCATTTTGTGTTAAATACAATAATAGAGTAGTTTCATTTTCGTCTGGTAGATTAATTTAAAATATTAGACACGTATTTTTTTCTTTGCTCACAGAATTAAATACTTTCGACGATATATTGATTTTAAATATCGTATGACGTCACAATGTGCTACAAAATATAGCACGTTGTGACGTAACGACCTCTCACTCTTAAATTTAACACCATATTATCTAAGTATTGCAACTTAATAAAAAATACGTGTCTAATATTTTTTCATCATCTAACTGACGGATTAATTCGATTTTTAATTTCTATACGCTGGCAACTACTCTATTATGTATGCTAAACGCCATTCAGTATGATTTTCTAAACAAAACTTTATACATAATATATATAATCATTCTGTTTTTTCTTAGACATTGCGACCTTCACTTCATATAGCAGAATGGTGATTGTACAAAAAAATATCGCAAAACATTAACAGTATCTTTATCCTAAGCACAAAGTTCTTCTGCTCATTAAAACACATAAATTGGTTTCAAGAAATTGAGCCGTGTGAGCTCTCAACCAATCCAATAAAACTACAGATGCTGATAGTCACCACGATGCTTAACAACGCGGTAGGATAATGATATGTTAAAACAAAAGTTTAAAGTTTTTCAGAGAAACACCCAGAACTACGAATATTTTATATTCATATTGTACGGTCAAAGGTCAAAAGTCTACTGCCACCGTAAGACTACTATCGGTTATCCACACATGCACACGCATATTATTATCCGTGTGCGTACGGGTGCGTGTATTTATGTGTACGCACGCGTTGTTACGCACATTAATATGAAATTACTTACGCATTGCCGTGTAAACATCACTCACGGTGGTGGACTTTTGACCTTTGACTGTACGAACATACATAAGGAAAATTATCGATACTTTTTTGCTATCCTTTTTGTTTATTTATATTGATAACAGAACTTTAATAAGTTTGACCATTTTTGATAACCGAACATTTACGAAACTTGGGTTTGTTATAGAAAAAGGAAGATATATTTATGACATACATACTATATGCTATGTAATTATGTGATAACAGTAGGTGCGTCACGTCCGGTGTATTTCGGTAGTTCAGATATCTGTAGAGCGACGTCTATCAGGGGCTTCAGCATTACTTGAGCGTCACCCAACACGTCTTTAGCTTCGTACGAGTCTATATACAGCCTGTAAAGGGATTATTATTGATGAGTTAACTGTTGTACTGTGGAAAGAATATACGTTTGACATTTGTAGCTGTCACAAAACAGTACTATAAACATTTTAAGGCCGGCTTTCTTGTAGACGAAGGAAATCGATATCACTTTGCCCAAACTACTGATTCCAATTTATAAATTTGTGATAATTGACTTGAAATAGGAGGCAAACGTGCAGATGGATCACCTGATGGTAAGCGATCAGCGCCCATGGACGCAACACCACACGAATCACAGGTGCGTTGTCGGCTTTTTTAAGTTTTTAAGTGTAGGAGAGCCATGCTTCGGCACGAATAGGCCGGCTCGACCGGAGTGATACCACGGCCGAACAGAAAACCGACGTGAAACAACGCTTGCGTTTGTGTTTCGTCGTGTGAGGTTCCGGAGACCCAAGTACCCTCCTCCCCAGTCTCCCCCATAATCCTCAAATCCCCAATTCCCAAAACGCGGGTAACGCACTTGTAACGCCTCTGGTGTTCCAGGTGTCCATGGGCGACGCCGATTGCTTACCATCAGGTGATCCGTCTGCTCGTTTACCAGCTTATGCCATAAAAAAAAGTAATACGCTCTTTTCTTGACGGTTTGAAGGTCGTATATCCAATATTTCGAGTGATTTATCGACGTAAATATAGAACATACCTGACGGTAGCTCCCGAGCTGCCAGTACCGCTGAGTCGCAACACAATGCGGGAACCATCCTCGAAAATTATGCGGAGACCCTGCAGTTGATAAAAAATGAATATAAGAAGCGTAAATTAGAGAGCTTTTCAATGTTTTCTTGCTGTTACGAAGATTTTTCTCTAAAGAGTGAGGCAACCAAAAAGGTCAAATTATACTTTGTCTGATCCGAAAATGAATCCCAGACCTAATTTTTCGTAATCGAATTTGTGTCCACTCCAACAACAGGGCAGGTTCGTGAATAAAAGTAATTATTAAAAGACTGCCTCGTTGGCCGAGTGGTCGTAAGTGCGACTGCCGGACAAGGGGTGTCGGGTTCGATTCCCGGGTCGGGCAAAGTATTACTGGGTTTTTAAATACTCTCGGTAGTAGCACGGAGTCTGGATTTGTGCCCGGTATATGGCAATAGGTTCACCCCCACATGGGACTCATAACATAAATAGTGAAAAATGGGTGTTACATAGTACAGTGGTAATATGTGCACCTCTGCCTACCCCTTCGGGGATGGGAGGCGTGATGTTATGCTATGTATTAGAAGAATAATTGTTCACCTGTTTCATAGCAACGCTCTGGTCGATAGGATCCATATAGGAGAAGTTGTCAGCTAGTTTGACGACGTAGGTCTTCCCCCCGGCGGAGTGGGAGGAGCCGACGAAGCCGGGCGACGTGATCTTCTTCTCCAACACCTGCATCATCTCGTTGCAGGAGTCGCTTGCACACTCCTCGTAGTCGTATCTGAAAGTATGAAGTTGTTCTTTTAGATATGACTGCACGGTTGGTGCGGTGGCTGGACAACCGGCTGCCGTGCAACGTGTCGCGGGTTCGATTCCAGCACGGAACAACACTTTGTGTGATCCACAAATGGTTGTTACGGGTCTGGGTGTCATTGTGTATGTGAACTTGCATGTTTGTAAACGCACCCACGACACAGGAGAAAATCCTAATGTGGGGCAACGCCTTTATATATAAAAAAAGATAAAATTATAACTAGCGACCCGCCCCGGCTTCGCACGGGTGCAATATGCATGTATAGTACATATAAACCTTCCTTAAGAATCACTCTATCTAATAAAAAAACCGCATCAAAATCCGTTGCGTAGTTTTAAAGATCTAAGCATACATAGGGACAGGCAGACGGCGGAGAGCGACTTTGTTTTATACTATGTAGTGATTTAGTGCTAACAGATAATATGGGATGCCTTACGGAATTGAAGGCTTGTGATAGACTATTGCATCAGATAGAAGAAGTATTATAAAAGTCATGCTAATCTATTCAGCTATTTACAAACATACAATTTTTTTTATATATAAAACGAATATCTCCTTTTTTGTCTATAACACAGAATTAACACTTGATATTTGTTCATAGAATCACTAGCATATCAGAATCAGATTTCTCAGCTTCATCATTATCATCATCATCACCTATGGATTCCCATTGCAGACCCAGGGATTCAGACTATCTTTATAGAAAAAAACTCTAATTTGAACATTTCACATTTGCAATATAGTGTTTGTTTGTTTGTTTTGACTGCACAGTTGGTGCGGTGGCTGGGCAACCGGCTGCCGTGCAGCGTGCCGCAAGTTTGATTCCCGCACGGAACAACACTTTGTGTGATCCACAAATGGTTGTTCCGGGTCTGGGTGTCATTGTGTATGTGAACTTGTATGTTTGTAAACGCACCCACGGCACAGGAGAAAATCCTAGTGTGGGGCAACGTTTAAAAAAAAAAAAAGGAAAAAAAAGTGTTAGTTACCTAGTAAAATAATTCCTGCCGTATTTAGCCCAGTGCGCCTTGAGTATGTCCTCGACGGAGTGTCCGGTCCCGGCCAGTACGGACATCCAGGCGAGGGCGGCCCACAGTCCGTCCTTCTCCCTGATGTGGTCGGAGCCTGTACCGAAGCTCTCCTCGCCGCATAATGACAGGCGACCAGCGTCCATTAGGTTGCCGAAGTATTTCCAGCCTAGGAGAAAATTATAGATTTTTGGTAAAATTTATCTACCGCCCATATTAATGGTTTTGAAAAATACACCGTTGTCTATGTCCAGTTGGTGGTGGTAGTGGTAATAAATGTCCTCGTTGCGTTAAAGATTCTAGGTCATAAGTTTTTAAAATTCTAGGCGTTATTGTTACCACTGAAACTAAAATTCTGGAATAGTCCCTATCCCTATGTTTAGCAAAAAATGAATCCCTATAACGTTGTCACTCGTAATAATTGGATAAAAGTGACTACCTACTATTTATTTAAGATAATTTAATAGGTACTGCCTCGTTGGCCGAGTAGCCGCAAGTGCGAATGCTCGGGTCGGCTCGGGTTCGAATCCCGGGTCTGGCAAAGTATTACTGGGGTTTATAAAAATTCTCAGTAGTAGTGGGGAGTCTGGAATTGTGCCCGGCATATGGCAATAGGCTCACCCCCTATTACATGGGACTTATAACATAAATAGTGAAAAGTGGATGTTACATTACCTATACCTATTTGATATTTGAATTTTTCTTTATTAATTTTTAAGTATGTTGTTGTACTTTAGTAATAACTTGTAAAGTGTTGACTGAACTCATAACTAATAAAATTGCAGTAATCTGGAACTCGACAATTGTAATTTACGAATAATAGTTGCATGCCTTGATTGGTGGAACATGATGAACTGCGCATTCATATATCATCTTGAAATGCATCAAAATGTACTGTGTTCAGCAATAAAGATATTTGATTTGATTGATTTGACATTGTACAGTGGCATAATGTGCACCTCTGCCTACCCCTTCAGGGATAAAAGGCGTGATGTTATGTTAATAGGTACTTATTAATTACAGTGAGTACCAATTTGTAAATTATAATAATATTAATGAAGTCACTACAACTCACCAGTAGGCACTTCAAACATCTCGAAGCCAGTAGCAGCCGCGACTCTGTCCACAGCGGCTGCAGTGGGCATGGAGCGAGCGAAGCCCCGGACTCCGGTCCGCTGGAAGTAGGGGATCAGCTGCAAGTAGCTGGCTAGCACTGCCAGCGAGTCTGACGGAGTCACGAAGAACGCGCCGCGACCTATTATCATGTTCCTGTCACCTGGACAAATAAAATGATAATTAAGATAAGTGTAAAAAAATATGTATCTTATTAGTCAAAGTATATATTAGTATGCTACTTAGTATCTTGCTTCTCTATGTATTTATTTGCGTTGTATTTAATTGGGTAGTTTCCTAGGTTTAAAATAAATTGTTTCAACTTTTCAATGCAATAAATAATTAAAAAATAACCAACATAAATTAACCGACATAGAGAACAAGCTAAAGGACTACACTATGAACGACTATTGCATAATATTTATCGGAGAAAATGACGTAAAGGAGGAAAAAAGCCATCTAGAAACAATCAGACTAATTAAAACAACACTGCACAAAATAAATCACACCAATATAGTTATCTGTGCTGCGACATATGTGAGAGGAGCTCCGATATACAATTTCAAAGCTGAAATGTTTAATAAACTCTTGTTCTTGGACATACAAAACAGTGAATATGCATATTTCCTGGACACTAACCATGATTTAACGCTTGAGATGTTCTCCAACAGAACTGGAAAAATCACGAACTATGGAATGAAAAACATACACGGACGTATTATGACGATGATACGGTATGATATGGATATGGTTAATAAATCAAACAATGACATAGATATTGGTAAACCTGAAGAAATATGTAATAACAAATTTTTTCTTCATATATAATTATTTGTATATAATACATCAAAATATCAATGGTTTGATTGGTAAGTCGGATCTACTAGGCACACATCTAAACGAGCTCGCTGATCAAGGTAAATTAATTGATGTCTTATGCATAACCGAACACAACATGAAAAAAGACGACCATCAACATTTACATGTAGATAACTTTACACTTGCAGCATGCTACACTAGACAATATAGAAATGGGGGTTCCTGTATTCTGGTAAAAAATATACACAAATTCGAAACCGTAAATGTAAAACAATGGGCAGCTACCCATCAAATCGAATGCTGCGCGATTAAACTTGCTTCCCATCCAATCATAATCGTTTGTGTCTATAGACCGCCTAATAATAATAAAGAAGCAATTACAGTATTCTTTAATAATCTAGACATGATGTTACATGACATGTGTCTGAAGCGTAAGAATAAAATCATATTATGTGGAGATTTTAATATAGATATCTGCAAAAGCAGCAAAATGTCTGCTACTTTCCAAAACCTACTTCGCTGTTACAATCTAATACTAGGTACTCGCTCCCCAACACGTCTGTGCAGTGGAACCTGCATTGACAATATTATTCATAATATGAGGGGTAGCAGCTGTGAGGTTAAAGAATTAGCGATTTCAGATCATTCAGCACAAATACTTAAATGTCGAGTTAAGAAAAGCTGCACATTGTCTCATTGGTTCAGTTATAGACGTGATTATAGTGATGACAATATCAGGAAATTCACTGAATGTCTACGCAATTTATCGTTTTACGATGCCTATATGTGCTCTAATCCAAATGATGCATTCAATGAATTCTATAATCTGTTTAAGTTGTTCTACGACCTATGTTTCCCCGTCAATAGAATAAAAAACTCAATAATTAGAAAAGCAAAATGGATAACAACAGGACTAAAAAAATGCTCTAAGCGCAAGAGAGATATGCTGTGGGAATATAGAAAAAACCCGAACCTAATAAATAAAAACAAACTTAAAACATACACCAAAAGATTAAATCAAATAATCAAACAGACACAAATGGCACAAAACAATCACTTTATAAACACTGCTAACAACAAAAGTAAAGCCACATGGAGTATAATCAATAAACAAAAAGCAAACTACCCAAAACAAGGAATTGACAGCATAAAAATAGGCAATAAAATTATAGACCATCCAGAACAAATAGCAGAATCACTAAATAATAATTTTATCAATCAAATTGAATCTAGAAGTGACATCAATAATAATAACAATTTGACAATAATCACCAATCCTAATTCAATATTTGTGACACCTACAGTACCCTTCGACATAATAAAAATAATAAACTCGCTCAAAAATACGAAAAGTGCTGGATATGATGACATAACCACCGAGACAATAAAAGCCACAGCTCCTAGTATTGCCCCGATACTTAGCCACATTATCAATGGTTGCATTGAAACAGGCATATTCCCAGAAAACCTGAAAATTACTGTAATCTTACCATTATACAAAAAAGGTGACAACCAGGATCCCAATAACTACAGACCAATAGCGCTTAGTTCGGTATTCTCCAAAATATTTGAAAAGGTGTTACATAAAAGCCTGAACTCTTACTTAGAAAGTAACAAAATTTTAATTGACGAACAATATGGATTCAGGAAAAACAAAAGTATCGATTTAGCCATATATAATCTAATAGAACACGTCTTAACAAACGTAGATAATAGAACCCCTGTAGTGTCATTGTTTATGGACATGTCAAAAGCGTTTGACTTTGTAAACCATGAAATACTAATAAATAAGCTAGAGAAATACGGAATCAGGGGTAATATACTTGAGCTCATAAAATCTTACCTGACAAATAGAGAGCAAATTACATACATAAACAAAATCTGTCCCTACACAAAAACCGAAAAGACATATACCTCTACACGTAGGAAGTGTCTATTCGGAGTACCACAGGGTAGTGTTCTAGCACCCTTGCTATTTATTATATATATCAATGACATGCCTAAAGTAATTAATAACCCAATGATACTATTCGCGGACGACAGCACAATACTATTTAAGAAAACAAAAGATGACGAGACTTTCGAAAAAGATATAAATGACAATTTAAATAACATCATATCCTGGCTAACCAAAAATAACTTAAAAATTAACCTAGAAAAAACGACGTACATATCTTTTGAACAAAGAACTATTTATAAAAATCTAAATATTCACTACGGTGACCAAAAAATTTATGCAACTGATAACACAAAATTCTTAGGCATAAGTATTGACAAAAACATGACATGGAAAACTCACGTTGAAAATATATGCAAAAAGCTCAGCCAGTACTCGTATGCATTATACAACCTAAGAAAAGTGTCAAATCTTCCAACATTAATAATGGCGTATCATGGATATGTTGCATCCACTCTAAGATACGGACTCAAATTTTGGGGCAACTCGCCAAATAAACAAAATGCATTTAAAGCACAGAAAAAGTGTATCAGAGCCATATGCGGCATACAAAATACAGAGAGCTGTAAACCACATTTTCAGCGGCTACAGCTGCTTACGCTTCCATGTCTCTACATATATGAGGTAGCCACTTTTGTTAAAGCAAACCTACACATATATACCCATCCAAAGAGCACACGACACAGACACGAAATATGCATAACACCTCACAAAAAAGCCATATTTAATAACAACATTTTGGGTATGGCACCCAAAATATACAACAAGTTACCAAATGCTATAACTAACATCAGCAGTGTAGACGAGTTCAAAAGGTCCCTACAAGTACACCTGGTAACAAAATGTTACTACTCCATCAAGGAATTTTTAGATGAAAGATGACTGCCTGCTGGATCCGATTTGCATTGGTGGCATTTGTTTTGATTTATATAGGAACAACGAAATTATCAGTAAAACTTTTAGTATGTTGTACCCACTGACTAGGTAATATGACTTAAAAAAAAATGTACTGTTTCACGTTAATCTTGACATCCGCTAATGACTAATTTTAAAATTTTCATCAAGGACATTATCTTTATTTTTATATACATTCGTGACTATTGTAATAATTTATTCGAATGAAATTAATATTAATGACGTTATTAAATTAAATACTTAAATGTTTAACCTAATTTGTATGTGACATATCACAAAACATAGATGGTCAATATTATACCATGAAATGTAACATCCCATTGTACCTATGTTTACAAATAAATATTTTCATTTTCATTTTCATTTTCATTTTCATATAAATAATCATACTCTCCTCATCCATTGATTTGATATAATTTTTATTTTTGGATATTTTCTCGCTAATTTTAAGGAAATAAGTTGCTATTTGACGCAGTAATATGATGACGTCATAAGTTGCGATCCAATACAAAATTCATAGAAAAGTATCGTTTTTGACATTGCAATAAAAGTATTGAATTTGACTAAGTATCTGTCAACTACCGTATTGTTTTGTGTTTTAATGAAAGAACTCTTTATCATGACTATATCTCGCTGCATTGAATATTCTGGAAAACAAAGCACTGAACCCCAGGCAAAAAGTAAGAAGTAAATAAGTTGTATAGAGCTGGACTGCCTCATTGGCCGAGTGGTCGCAAGTGCGACTGCCGGGCAAGGGGTCTCGGGTTCGATTCCCGGGTCGGGCAAAGTATTACTGGGTTTTTCTCAGTGGTAGCACGGAGTCTGGAACTGTGCCCGGTATATGGCAATAGGCTCACCCCCTATTACATGGGACTCATAACATAAATAGTGAAAAGTGGGTGTTACATTACAGTGGCATTAAGTGCCGTAATGTGCACCTCTGCCTACCCTTTCGGGGATAAAAGGCGTGATGTTATGTTATGTAGAGCTGGAATCTTGATTTTGAATTTATTGAGCCTTGATAGGCATTTTTATTCGATATCGTAGATAAATCAACTTTTAATGTTTAAATTAAGTACCAAGTTATCACTACACCTTAAATAAAATGACTGCCTCGTTGGCCGAGTTTAATTAGAGAGGTTTAATTCCTGGGTCGGGCAAAGTATTACTAGTTTATTTTTTAATTCTCCGTAGTAGCAGGGAATCTAGAATTGTGCCCGGTATATGGCAATAGGGCCTCACCCCCTATTACATCGGACTCATAACATAAATAGTGAAAAGTTGGTGTTACATTGTACAGTGACATTGAGTGCCGTAATGTGCATCCCTTCACGGATAAGAGGCGTGACGTTATGTTATGTTATAAAATAATTTATCTTTAAATAATAAGCACTTACCATCTCCATCAAAAGCAGCTCCGAGGTCATAGTCTCCACCCTTGACAGCGTTCACGAGGTCAGCAGCGTAAGTGAGGTTTGGATCTGGATGGGCGCCTCCAAAGTCCTCCAGAGGTACGATACGTCGCACATTGCCCTCCCTAGCGCCCAACTCGTCGATAAATATACGCTTTACGTAGGGACCGGTTACTGAAAGAAAAGTATTTTTTGAGAAAATATATAACTTTAATAAAATACAGTACTACTACCTCATATATTTTATTGGTGGTGGTTCCAATATCATGGTGGCTCGGAGGTTTAAGACGCACTTCTCATGCATGTGGGTTCGGGTATGAAACCTACCAACGGCAAGTACCAATGTGACTTTTTTCGAGTTACACGTACTTTCTAAGATTATCAAGACACCGTTGACAAACGGTGAAGGTAAACATCGTGAGGAAACCTGGGCTTTTTATTTTTTAATTATAAGTTTGTAATCGCCAACCCGCATTGAGCAAGCGTGGTGATTAATGCTCTAACCTTCTCCGTGTGAGAAGACGCCTTTGCTCAGCAGTGGGCGTTTATATGCTGTTGATGATGATGATGATGATGATGACTACCTCGTAACCATTTCTCAATGAGTTAATGATTCGATTTTCAGGTCGTGCAAAAGTATTATTGGCTATTTTTATTTTACGAAAATTTTCTATAGTTGGTAATGGTTTTTCAAAGTATTTTTTTCAATCCGAACCGAATCGAACCTGAAGCCTCATACTAGGTATTTAAACTTGGGGTTTGTTAACAAACAATAGGTAATTAACAAATATTATGAACTTGCCTAAAATGTCACTAAAAATAAAATAAAATAAGGTCAATGACTGTTATCAGAAACACAAATGATAGCGTGATACCGTGATATGCCTGTGGTATAAGGAATGATAGTCATTCACCACTTTATACTGCATGATCCGAGGTCCCTGAGGTCAGAAGCCAACTAAAGTACCTACTGAACTTACTAGATTTTAATACCTACTAGTGTGACATGAATTTTTTTAGATAGTAACTGTGAGTGAGTGTCAAAGTATCTATAACTAGGTTCTGCTCGCGACTTCGTACATAGAATCTCGTTTTTTCTCGTTCCTGTTCGGTAAAAAGTAAGATAAAAGTATTGGATTAAAATTATCCTATGTCCGTCTCCGGGTTCTAAGCTAATTAGTGGGGACCAATATCCATCCAAATCGATTTAACCGTTCTTGAGTTATGAATAGTGTAACTCACACGACTTTTTAATTTTTTTAAATACATATTCCATTAGTGTTTAAAAAACCAAATACTAGTAAAACGGTTAGCCATTCATATGATGTCGCGGAGAACCTAACGGGTAACCGGGGTGCCGACTCGACGTGCAGGAGAAAGAACGGGGTGGTTTTTAGTCAGTAAGAGTCTGACACTCCCTCCCGCCTCACCCAGGCGGGAGCAGTAATTCGATGATTTTCCCCCCTTAAAAAATAAAGCCATTCATATGATATTCTAGCTTCTAAATATAACATTTAAAAATAGACCTTAATTCAACAACATTTGGATACACTTTAATAACAATAAACTAAAATAAACTTTCTACCTTAACGTGTATGTATATAAGATAATTTTTCTCATCACAAACCTATATCTACTCACCTCCGTTCATAGAATCGATGAGTACGTTGAATGGCTTCCGTTGTTCCGTGCCCTGTATCAGTGCCTTGATCTTATTGAAGTCGAAGATCTCCTTCATGTACGCCACGTAATCATTTACTGGGTCAATAACTTCTACTGTGAACTTTTGTCCACCAATCTGAAAATAACAAACATAAATCACATAACAGCACGCCTTTTTATCCTCGAAGGGGTAGGCAGAGGTGCACATTACGGCACTTAATGCCACTGTGCAATGTAACACCCACTTGTCACTATTTATGTTATGAGTCTCATGTAATGTAAAAGGGGGTGAGCCTATTGCCATGAGTATTTTTAAAACCCAGTAATACTTTACCCTATTCGGGAATCGAACCCGAGACCCTTTGCCCGGCAGTAGCACTTGCGACTCCTCGGCCAATGAGGCAGTGTTTTTTAATATCATTTAAAATACTCACATCATAATTAGAAACACCGATCTTGGAGATATCGCAAGCAATGTCTGGAACTATCTTGTATTGTTTAATGGCGGTGGTGAGGGCATAGATCTGATTGGTGGTCGCGTCGGGCGCTGGGCCGCCATTGGCGCAGTTGAATTTGATTCCAAAGTCATTATCTATGCCACCCGGGTTGTGAGACGCTGTGAGGACGATACCACCTGGGAAAGAAAATGGTAAATTAGAAAAAAAATATTTTTTAAAGGCAGACAATAACATAACATAACGACTTTTATCCTTGAAGGGGTAGGCAGGGGTGCACATTATGCCACTGTACAATGTAACACCCACTTTTCGCTACTTATGTTATGAGTCCCATGTAATAGGGGGTGAGCCTATTGCCATGTACCGGGCACAATTCCAGACTCCGTGCTACTACTGAGATTAAAAAAAACCCAGTAATTTTTTGCCCGACCCGGGAATCGAACCCGAGTGCACTTGCAATTTTACTCCTTTGGTTTTAATGTTGAAAATCGAATAAAGAAAGGAGTACTTTGATTTGCTAGCATAAAATATTAATTAGTTTCATAGAGGGGCGACCATTTTAGACTTTTTACGTATCAACTTCCTACTAGAGGTAAAATTATTGGAAATTCTCAATGGTTTTTATTTATAATTTATTTTTAGTAGGTACTTATTTACATGATATATAAATAGTTCCAACTTAAAATACACTAAAACAAATGGAGAAAAATAAATTAAAGAAAAAATCTAAAAATGACTATGCATTTACAAAGAGCATCAAAAATTTCGTCCGCATCGCCATCAATAGGGAAAACACCCAGAAGGCTGGCAGGATTGCCATGTTGTATGGCAATGCTTAACCTCTGAGAATCAGAGCAGCCATAATAATTAGACCATTTATAATATAGATTTTTTAAAATAGATGTTGTATGTAAAAACTGCGCAGAGATCAGTAAGAATGTTCATATGCACGAAGTATTCAAAGAGCAAATAAGAGTACCTAGCTAATCTTATACTATCATACTATTATATAAAGCGGAAGAGTTTGTTCTTTTGTTTGTTTGTTTAAACGCGCTAATCTCCGTAACTACAAGTCTGATTTGAATAATTATTTTTGGGTTGGATAGCGCATTTATCGAGGATGGCTATAGGCTATAAAACATCACGCTACGATCAATAGGATCTGAGCAGAGCGTGTGAAACCGCGCGGAGCTAGTCAAATAATACTTCAAAGACAGTGTACGGAGTAATTATTAGCATTAATTTATATTATCTTTCTCTCACTAAGCGCTATGCAGAATGTGCGTATCAATAAAGATATTATTTATACCAGTCAAGGCTAAGGGTTCAATATAAGTCAGTAAACAACGGTGAGTTATCTAACCACTGTTTATGTCTAGTAAATAAACTGATATTTTGCTATTCTGTCGCTTTATTATTTAGATATTGTCTAAGATTTTGAGATCTCTAGTGGGATAAATGGACACTTATTCGCAAGTTGTTGTAATACTCCATGTAATGTAATCTGGATGCAATATGGACCCCCGGACTTTGAAGGACTGGTTATCGATTTTAGAACGCGTAGCGTTACTTGTTTTAACCTGTGAATCCTACACCTACACACCTTTTTTTTGAAGGAAAATCATTCAATGACTTCTCCCGCCTGGGTGAGGCGGGAGGGAGTGTCATACTCTTACTGACTAAAAACCACCCCGTTCCTACTCCTGCACATCGAGCTGGAGCCTCCGCGGCTCCTTAACACCAACTCCTAAGAAAACTTGGCAGTTTTGATAAACAATCCAGAGTTACTACTTGCTAATATAAGATATAAATATTTATCAGGACTAAATGTGTAAATTAAAACAGAAATGTTGAAAACAGGCAGGTACAGCCTTTTGAAACAACGTCTGTGGCAGTGCACCTGTAGCCAATTGCCATTTAGCGCTTGACTACATGTAAAATAGAAAACCAAATTATATGGAATTGACGTAAATTTTGACACTTGTCAGTGTCATCCCCATACATTTAGTTTTCTACTCTCTCGGTAGACAAGCGATAAAGTGGCGTTTGGCTAAAGGCACTGGGTACTACAGAGTTACTCGCAGAACATACACACATTGACACGAAGGGCATCCGTCAGTTTCTTAAGTCTGGTAACGTGGTAACCCATTACACACGCACACATAAAAAAACCACTCACATTTTGATGCTTCAATCTATTCTAAGTAACCTAGTCCCCGTCTCCCGAATCCTCGAATCCTCCACATTTATTTATTCAAACCATGCACTTACTGGCTTACAGTGGGTACCAAAACTCCAGTAAGCTAGTTAATTAAATAAGAAAAAAAAATGTCATAAAAATAATAAAAATAGAATCATATCCTCAAATTCCCAATTTCCAAAAGGCCGGTAACGCACTTGTAACGCCTTGGTGTTTCGAGTGTCCATGGGCGGCGCCTATTGCTTACCATCACCTCTCGCGTCCGGGCCTAGTGCGGGCCATGATGCGGAGCGAGGGGGACTGGGATGCCGTCTCCTCCTTTTGCGAAGCAGTCATGCTAGCTAAGGAGGAGGCGGGACGCGTGAGGCAGCGAAGCGCTGCCTCCTCGCAACCCAGCCATCGCGAAGGACACACCGGGCGTCG